TCTATTCTCACCCCTAGATGTCCACAGGTTCCCCCACTGACTATGCCCTGTGCTGACCCTGTGTCCAAACAAAGCCAAGCAGGAGTAGGTCAGTTGGCAGACTGTGTCACACATGCATTCAATTTTTAGGTTGATCTTTATTCCAGTACAATAGTCGTAGTTGCTGTGGATTCATAGAAAGTTCTGAACTCAGGCAGTGTCTGTCTTTCTATTTTGTTCTTTTGCAAAATTATTTTGACCATTTCTTACATCTCCACAGAAACTTTTGAATCAGCTGGATGATTTTTCTAACTCTGTAAGTAAAGCCCTAGGGTGATGTCCCCCGGGATTGGCTTGGCTTTGTCGTTCAGTTTGCTAGGTTGTTATGGTAACAAGAATGGCTCGGTGCCATTCTACCGATGCACTCAATGTATCTCTCCAGTTATTGCGACTTACAAAATTTCAGCAAGTTTTGTAATTTGCAGGTATGCTTTGCACATCTCCTATCAAATTACCTTTGGCAATAAGCTAGTTTACATGTTACTGTTTTTTCCATGTTATTTTCTGAGGATACATTGTTACCATACAGAAATATAATTGATTTTGATACACTGACTTTTCACCCTGTCATTTATTAAATCCACTTATTAATTCTAATAATACCTCTGTGAACTTCTTAGCATTTTCCATATAGTTTATCATATAACCCTAAATAATGACAGCTTTCCTTCCTCTTCTCTGATCCACATGCCTTTACTTTTCTTTCCAACTGTAACTGGCTAGAACCGAGGCTGGGCGTGGGGAGAGGTGTTGGAGAAAGTCTGCTGCTCTTGGTCTCAAGGAAGCTCTCCTTCTCTTCGAGCTCCCATGTGATGTCAGCGGCTTTTCCTGCTGATGCCGCCACATATTTGGAGGAATTCCCTTCTATTTCCAGTTTGTTTAGAGTCTCTTTGTGAATGGATGTGGGATTTTGTAAAATGCATTTACTGCATAATCTAAAGTGATCATGTTTTCTTGTGTTTCTCACCAGTTAATATTATGAATTACTGTGATAGCTTTCACATGTTCATCCCATCTCGTACTTTTGAGATGAGTTCTCCCAAGCCAGGGGCCAGACTTCTGCTCCTTCCTGATTCTGTTCCCCCTGGCCACGGAAGATCTTGTTGCGTATGCAGAAGATTTCTCTTTATAGTGTGCTGGGGACTGAACAGGACCCACACATAACTAGGTTTACATTCTAACTCCAAGCCACACCTAATTTTAAAATAGAGAAAATGGAGAGCACCTTTCTTTCTGCTGTCAGTAGCTAACATCTTCGTCCTTCTGCTGGTCACTCTGCTCCGGGTCTGTCCATGTGACTGCTATTCCCCAGGAACAGGGGCACTGTGGGATTCTGCTCTGTGTGCTGAGGCTAAGGCTGGACCCAGTGTGGCAGGCGAGGGTCACCCGGCTGACTGCAGGACAGCCCTACTATGAAGTCACCTCAGCAAGGACCAGGGAGCTACAGATGCACACAAGCCTGGGTGCATCCCCAGAGAACACCTGTGCAGGACACCAGTCTGGGCACGAGAAGCTGCACACAGCACAGTGCCAGCCCATAGCATCCTCCAAGGGACGGTTGCGTGTTGGACAGAGGGCAGAGACAGAGGAGGGGATGTGCCACATCTGGCTGTGACAGGGTTCTGTCATTCTGAAGATGTTACTACGCTCAGCTTCACAGAGGACGGGTGGGCACTCTACTGCTTCACACAGCTGCAGGTGCACCTGTGATTATGAGGTGTGGCTAAAATCGGTTTAAATTTTAAAAAGTATTACAGGAAAATACACATTGGTATCAGTCCCCTCAAAACCCTCCTCCGGGCTTTGAACACACACCCCACTATTTTTGTCACTTGCTGAAGCAGCTCTGGAGTCCTCTTTCCTGAGTGTCTTTAGTTGTGTTGGCATGGCTGCCTCGATGTTCTGAATCCAATAAAATGTTTCCCTTTCGTGGTCATTTTGTCTCTGGGGAAAAGTGAGAGGTGGCACAGAGCCAGAGCCAGTGCCTAAGGCGGATGAGGTCAGGGCATCATGTTGTGCGAGCTCAGCTGCCTTTCCGTCGGGTGGCACTCGGCAGCAGCAGACACTGTAATCTTGGTCACACCTCATGAAGACACTCAGGATGGGATGAGCATGCTCAGTGTGAGGGGAGGATTTTGGAGGGACTCACGGCAATGTGCCTTTTGCTGAAATCGTTTTGTTTCAAGGTCAGTCCCCACTGCCTGTTTTGATCACCGTGAATTTTGATTAGCGAGGTAACCCCCACGTGCCATCCTCCACCTCCTCACCTCTCGGGCATCCTCCCCGACTTTCTCCAGCTCAGCTCCACGCTCCGCTCTTCTCCTTTTGGGAACAATGAGGATGAAGCACAGAGAGGAGTCTCAGTCAGGCCGCTCTCCTGCCCTCCCCACAGGAAAGGCCCTGCTGCCCCAGCGGCTTCCCCAGCCTCCTGCTTTGTCTCCCATTTTCAGGGCTCTCCTCATGTTGTCTCTGGGTTTCCTGAGATTAATCCTTCAGAGTCTCACGGAGCTTCCCTCTGTGTTCGAATCTTCCTCCGTGCCATGTCCCTTGCTCTGCAAATCTAAGACCACAACTTCTGGACTTGTCATATTACCCCGGGTCCCTGAGCCACAATTTGACTTCCTCAATCTTTTCTTTCTGTTGCTACATCAGTGATTTCCACAGGTCTATGTGCAAGATTCTTTCTCTTTCTATCGTAGTTCCCTTCTTCCTATAAAGCCCATGCAGTGATTTTTTAAAACTTTTTGTTGCTGAAGAGGTTAGTCCTAAAGCTTGTGTTTGAGGCAAGTGTGGCACACACCTGTAGCCCAGCACTCAGGAGGCTGAGGCAGGAGGGTTGCTGTGAGTTCATGGCCAGCCTGGGCTACATAGTGAGACCCTACCTCAATTAAAAAACAACAACAACAAAATTTAAATTAAAGACTAAAACTTGGATTGGATTCCACTTCCTACCACCCAATTCCTGAGGATGTGCCACTTCCAGAGTGCTCACCCCAGGTAGTTGGCCACATGCCTCTGTGAGGACATTGTCCCTGCCCTCATGTGCCAGGACAGGAGGAGGAACAGAGCAACCCATCCGCAGAGTCTCCTGTCTTCTCCAACTTCGGGCCTTCTCTGAGCTCCCTCTGCACCAGTCTGGCATTACTGTAGGGAACGGCAAAGTCCTCACAGGCAGGCAGATGCCAGCTTCTGTGTAGGTCCTGGGGGACAGACTTGGTCTGGGCGGGTGCACAGGTGCCAGGTGCCGCCCCCTCCTCCCGGGCCCCCACGCAGCATCTGCGGTTCTGACCTTCGCTCTGAGCACCTTTCCTGCAATCGCACAATCTGCATTCATTCCCTGTGTCCACTGTGCCAGCTCACTTCGCCAAGTGAGATTCATCTTTTTCTTCATTATTTTAAACCCTTTCTGTGTACCCAGGGTAATTACTTTCTGTGTGACAGCCGGGGATAGTTCCCTCTTTGCTGTGCATCATGTTCTTTTATTTGTCCTGTTTATCCTGCACAGCTGTTTTATTTTGCGGGAAGTCCAGGAATCCTCCTGGGTATCATGTTATTTCTAGGACCTGCTAGTGGGCTTCCTTGTGTGCTTCCTGGCAGTATGAGAAGTTTCCCACTGTCTTCTCACCTGTTACCTGCCACCTGATTAGACTCATAAAAGCATGGCCCTGTTTCTCCCATGAGGTGAGGCGTCTTCCTCACACGCTGAATGTTCACATGTAATTGTGTCTATTTCTGGATTTCTGTTCTCCTCCCTTAGTCTGTTTCTCCCCGCCCTGGCTCCTTACAGTTATAATTAGAGAGGACTCAGGGTGAGTTTCTGCATGCAGCAAGGTAGCTGTCTGCTCCCCTTGGCATCTTTATTTCGACATTTTCCTGGCTACTGTTTTCTCCATAGATGGTCAAGTCACTTTTTCTGCCTCTACAAACAGCAACAAGGAAAACAAAACCTGCCATGATTTTATGGGAACTTAAGGAAAAACTTATATACACATGCAAAAGAGATTTGCTCTCCTAAAATGTCTTTGTTTTCTTCCAACTTGCTTTTGTGGGATGCTTTGTGGCTTTCTTCATAAAAGTCATGTGAAGTGAATCGCTTCAGTCTGTCTTGCCAGAGACGCTGGGTAGCCCAGGCCCAGGTGAGACCCTGGCTCTTCTCAGAGACAAAAAGGACCAGGATGCAGGTGTATGTTGCAACCTTGGCATCTCTAGTGGTCACCTGGCAGCTGTGCTGCCTGGTGTAGGTTTCTGGAGCTATCTGTGCCAGGCTCTGATCTATGCTTCCTTCCAGCCTGTCTGCTGTTTGTCCTGGGAGGAGTAGCCCCCAGGATCTAATAATGGTCCAGTCTTCTTCATGGTGGGTCCCTAATGCCAAGCCTTTTAAAGTCGTGTTTGTACAATAGCCATGGCTTGGGTAGAACACAGGCAGGAGGCCCCTGTTCTTTTCCTTCGCAGCATGAAATACATTCTACCTCTACGCGGAAAGTTAAAAATAATAGGCAAAATTTCATGTTGGAATTTGACGTTCTATTCTTTGGAACTTTCTTTCTGAAGGAGAAAGAACAAGCATTTACATAATTGGATTCTTATCTGGAGGAAGCCAAGCCTCAGAAACTTTGGAGGTTTACTTGCCATTAATAAACACTTCCCTCACCCAGCATTTTAAGGAACAGTTTCACCAAATATGGTCCAGAAAGATTACGGCACATTTCTCCTGCCATTTCATTTGCTTCTGTTTGTGTACAGAAGGTTTTCCTACCTGCAGCTCAGAAAGGGGAGGTAAAAGTAATTCCAGGTTTTATTTAGAGTACTATGAAAATATGTGGGTTGACACTGACTTCATGGAAGCCCTCACGTCTTCATTCAGTCAGTACTTACACGGTGCCATCTTTGTACCAGACCTCTCCTCCCCTTGTCCTTTTCTTTGTCCCTCAAGCCAGCTGGGAGTTGGGATAAAGCAATCGTAAAGTACAGGTCTCTCCAGTGCCCCGGACTGCAGGTCCAGCCCTATCTGCTCATACTCCTGGTTGTATCCCGTGTCCGCCCACGATGTTCCATCATTGATTTCCTTATCCTTCCCCCACGTCCTGTCATCTGTGCACTGCCTGGGGAAGATGTCCTGACCACAGCCTCTGCCTGTGTCCTCAAGCAGCTGGGCAGGACTCCACCTCTCCCAGGACCGTTCTGTACTTGCTGACACTTGGTGAGGCTCAGTGGCCTCGAAGAGAAGCGGACATGTGAGAAAGCAGCAATGAGCAGTGGAGGTGAGGGAGGCCTGCAGGAGGCTCCAGTGCACACAGGAGCAGGAGGCTATGGGCAGCATGGGGCCGAGATTAGCTCCCCAGACAGTGCTTGGTGCAGCCGTTGAATAGTCACGGCGCTGACCGCGGCTCTGCCATTGTCACTTTCCATTGGCAGGCACCATGGAAATCTCAGCCATGTGTTGCAGACACATGTGCGCTTGCCTACAGCCTGGTCCTGGCAGATGGGTCCCCATGCCCGATGGCCAGCATGGAGGACAGTGGGGCCTAGGGGGAGGAGGAGTGCTCTTCCCTCTTCCCGCAGTCCGACTTTCCAGCTGGGGAAGAGACCAAAGCAGCACTTCCCTCCTGCTCTAGCATCCCCAGAGATGGAAGCGCTGGCCCTGTCTACTGAAGGTGAGTGACAGTAATGGCAGTTGGCCCTGTTGGACCAGCCAGGAAAGCATGACACTGTGGAGGATGTGTGAGCAGCGGAGGCATGTGTGTGTGCACTCATGTGTGTATAGGCCTGGCAGTGGGTGTCAAGGAGCTCTTCTGGGGGTATCCTCAAGCCAAGGAGCATGGAGATTTGAGACACGGCTCCCCCTGGGCAGGAGAGGATGCATATGCAGTCCCCTCTGCCCGAGCCCTGCTCAGGCTCCAGTGGCTTGGACCTGGCTCTGATGAGGCCTCATAACCCCTCCCCGGTGAGCAACATTGAGGGATGCCAGTGACCTCTGTTGGAAGACGGATCAGGTGGGAGGAAGCTCTCCACCCTGGGGGATGAGGCCAGGATGCCCTTCATGGGCGGAAGGAAAGCTGGGCCCCTGAGATACGATGGGAAGAGATGGGGTTGTCCATATATCTGTGCAGCTGGGATGGCCTTGCCCTTCCTGATGACCCCATTGGGGCAGGGACACTGGGGTTCTGCATCCATGCGCCTCAGGCCTGGTGTCTGGACCCAGAATGAGTCTCCACAGGATCTGGAGTCCTCGCTGGTTCATCCCTGTGCCCCTCCTGAGCCAGACCACCATGGGCCCCTGCAAACCCAGCCCGGGCTTCCAAAAGGACAGAGCTGGCCGCCACCCCCTCCTGGGGAGGCCCTCTGTGTTTCCTGTGGCAAGTCTGGGTGGGCTGGAAGCTGGGCCTGGTCAAGCTGACCTCCATGGCTGCCCTCCTTCGCAGCCACCTCTCTGAAAGGTGGCCCCTCTGTAGGCCCCAGCCTTGAACTGAGGGACTCCAGCTTGTGCTGCAAGTGAACCTGTCAGCACCAGCCCCATGGTGTGGCCAGAGGTCAGCTTGGGATGCCCACCTGGGGTCAGACCTGCTCCGTCCATTCCCTGCGGTCTGGAAAGCAGGGCAGGTGACAGGCAGAGATGACCCTGCTAGGTAACCTCCAGGGGCCTGGGCAGGGTGCCGGTGTCTTCAGGGCCAGGCCCTGTCCTCAGCAGGTGGGCTGGCACACTTCCCTCCTTCTGGGAGTCACCCCGCAAAGCCACCCTGCCCCTCTGACTCATGCCAGTGGGGAAGAGGCCTGTGGGGACCTGGAGCTAGGGGGCAGGCCCTCCCCATCCTGGGGCCCAGCGTCCTTCCCAGGCCCAGCCTCAGTGCAGGACAGAGCCAGAGGACGGGCCCCTGCCTCAGCCAGCTCTGGGTGGCTCCTGGGTCCTTGGCTTGCAGCCCCATGGCTGTCACCTCTGCTCCATCTGCACGTGGCTTGTCTCTCTCAAATCTCCTCTTATTTCTCTGGTGAGGACCCCAGTCGCTGGCTCAGGACCCACCCAGGGGAGGGGAGCAGCATCCTCTGAGATCCTTAGCCCAGCAAATCTGCAAAGCCCTGTCCCTGTAGGGGGCATCACAGGTTCCGGAGGGGCCACTGCGGCCACTGCACTCGCATTGCCATGAGCTGCAGTCCAGTCAGCCCCTGCGCCTCCCTCCTTCCTGCTCTGGGTGGAGCAAGCCTTGGCCAGGTGGCCTGCAGGGAGCACGGGCCCCGGCCTGGGACTGCTAATTCTTTGATCCTGGGCTATTCTCACATGGATTGGCCTCTGGTCCTGCATGGGCTGCCCCTGTCCTGAGCAGACTTAGGGGCAGCCCTTGCTGATGCTGAGCACTGTTCAGGCCCCACTGGACCCCAGGCAGGTGTGTGCGCCACAAGCCTGTGTCCTCCAGCCAAGGCCATAGAGCAGGCCCTGGCACCCAGGGAGGGCTTTGAGCAAATGTGCCTCTTCCCAAGGTCACAAGGTGAGGAAGGAAGCCCGTGTCCTCCCTGGCGGACAGCATCACCTAGTCCCAGCCCCGTGGCTGGGGTCAGCCAAGGCACGTGTGTGGCTGGCCCTGGGGGTTATATCAGAAGGAAATGTGGGCTCCATTAAGCACTCAACCCAAGTCAGACATGAGCACAAGACAATTTGCATATTTTACCATCCTGTTTTCAAGGACTGAGTCAGAGGGCTTCTGATTTACTGTCTGGAAGCTTCCCATGTGCCAGGCCCTCGGCTCTGGCTGTGGAGCATTTTTATTGCTTCGTACTCACCAGTGTCCTGGGATTTGCTCAATTACATTACGCACCCGGAATGTGTTTCTGCGAGCCCATGGGGTTGTTCTGCCCTGGCTAGAGTGGTTGGGAGGTTTGGGAGCACCTGGCCCTCATCGAGGAGCAGCTGGCCACTGAGAGGGGAGAGCAGGCCCAGCTCCGGTGGGCTCGGAGTCCCTGTCACCTGCGCTTCCCATCGTGGACTGAGGAGCATTGACCTGAATGCTGGGACCAGAGGCTCCTGAACTGGAGAGGTGCAGCAGGCCGGCATCCCAGGGAACTCTCTGCCTTTCCTCGGGGGCTCGGAGGCTGCCAGACTGACCTGGTCTGGTCCAGGTCCGGTGCACAGTGGGCGGAGGTGGGCAAGGTAGGCGGCAGGAGGGAGTAGCTTCTCCGGGAAATCCTTTGGGGTGATTTGGGGTTTCCATGCCCCAGAACCTGAGTGATGCCCCATGAGGAAGGGCCACAGTCTCGTCCTGGTCCTGGCTGCTTGTGTGTAGGGACATCACTGAGAGTCGTCTTAATGTCCTGCAAGGCTACCTCGGCTCCCAAAGGCAGCCCAGGAAGGGATGGGGACGAACCCTCCTTAGGGTGCCTGTGTGTGTTGCCATAGAGGGAGCGGCTGGGGCTGCAGAGCCACGAGCCACCTCTGTCACTGAGGGCTGAGCCCCTCCACTGCGATGAAGACTCGCACTCCCCACTGGGGACTTCTGCCCTAAATGGGAACCCCTGGGGCCCTGAGGACAGATGGCCCCCATCTCCCATCAGGCCTGGGCCCCTGCCTCTGCCCTGCTCCCATGTGGAGGCTTCCCTTGTCCTCATCCCTTCCCAGGATGTCCTTCAGGGTGGGCACCAGGGTAGGGCGGTCTCCTCGACGCCTTCTGCTCTTGGCCAGGTTCAGTGTGTCCCCACTGGGGCATGTCACATGGGAACACCAGTGGTAGCAGTCAGAGAGGCAGGGCGAGTGAGGGCACACAGATGCATGCATAAACACAAATGCATGCGCAAGCCAGCCACGCACTCATGCACACAGATATGGGACAAAGACACAAGCGTGCACTCATGCATGTGCTCACAGACACACGTGTGCACACATGTGCATGGGCACAGGAAGCTGGTGCCCAGGGTGCAGGTCTCCTGGGGGAATAGATATTCAGCCCTGCTTGCAGCCAGGGCCTCTGTGTGTGCGGGTGACAGGTGATCAGGCTCAGTGGTCTCTGCGGCTTCTTCCTCACTGAGATAGGACTCAGCCTCTGCACATCCTGGGTATCTCATGTCCCTGCCTGGCCTTGGACCATTCAAACAGGGTCTCTTACTGCTGCTGCAGCCTGGTCCTTCCTCCTGAGAAGACCCCAGCCCCTTCCTCTCCTGCTCCCTCCTGACAGGCTCCTTCCTGTGTGAGCCCCAGGGCCTTCGCACACACTGTTCATGCTTTCCCTTTTTCCACTTGCTCACAGCTCATCCCCTCTACCCTCCAACCATCCCTGGAATGTGATCCCCAGGGAGCTCCCGACGGTCCTGTCTGGGTCACCTCTGTGTCTCCACAGACAAGACAGAGCCTCAGACAGCATCGAAGACTCTGCCCTGCGTGTGTGCAGGAAGCAGGGGTTGGAGGGGCAGGAGGGCCCTGGGACTGGACCCTGGTGGCAGTTACCTGTGCTCCATCTCCTTCTGCACTGCAGTGTGGACTTGCATCGGCCCAGGCAAGCCCAGCCCAGGCCACAGACAGGCCCAGGGCCTGGGAGCAGTGGGAGGGAATGTCCCCAGGGTGAGATGATCTCGTACAGCCGAATCTTATTAAAGAACAGACAGCAGTTAAAGCCAATTTGAAGTCTACGAAGCCCCCCCTAACCCACATGCGTCCTCGTGGCTGCTGACACTGCACCGCCCAGATCCTTTTTATTCTGGCTTGAACAGCATCGCTCCATGGAAATGGCTTAATCGGATTCTGCGTTCCTCCTGGGCAGGCAGCTTTAGGGTGGTGTGTTTATTTTCCAGACTAGCTAGACTGTATGAAACCAGACAGCTGTACCTGAGCCAGCATGGCGTCTGTGTGTTGGGCAAGGACTGAGTGTAAATATACGATTTTGAGGGTTCCTGGCCAGACTTCTCCTCTCCCCAAATCCTGACGCCAAGGCTTCTGCAGCAGCCGAATCTGCAGTTAGCAGGAGCCTTCCTCCCTTCGCTGTCAGGAAAACTCAATTTCTTTGGAGATGCTGTCTGGTCAGGCTGGTTATGGAACTGATTTTCCAGGTGAGGTGCTCGCTGGAGACTGTGACCCCAATACTGAAAGCTGTGCTTTCCAGAGGCTCAGGGTGACCCTGGACCATTCATCTCCAGGAGCTGCGGAAGTCACTTTTGAAATCCAGAGGTAAAACTGAGACTTAATTACCTGACCCTCGGAAAGACAGCTGGGAAGCAGGAGGTGAACCTGAGCCAAGAGCACCCAGGGATGGGATCCCCCAGGGAGGCACACAGTTCCCGACACAGACTGGCCCTGCAGGGTGTGGCTCGAGATCGCCTTCAGTTTATGCCTGGCTTCCTCACTCTGAGCACCAGAGCTGCTCAATGGAAGCTGCACCTCGGTCTTCATCATTCATGTGAGGCCTCTCCACCTGGTCACCTCAGTGAACAGCCCTGAAGCCACTGCCTCAGGGGTGGGCTGGGTAAGATGACAGATGCCTCCTAGGGCCCAAGGCCACCCAAGCACCACACCCACCAGTACCTCAGGTCACAAAGCCAAGCCAAGCCCACAGATGAAGGGGTGTGGATGTCAGCCTGTTGCTATTGCATTGGTGACCACAGGCTCAGCCCTGAGGCTGAATCCAGAGCTCCTGCACTAGTTGTGATTAAAGCTTTATTAGAAGATGGGATTGGTACTATGTGCCTGCAGTCCCAGCAGTAGGGAGGCTGAGGCAAAGAAGGGTCATGAGTGTGAGGCCTGGGCTACACAGTGAGACCCTGTCTCAAACAAAAACAGGGCCTTACTGGAACTGGCCAGGCCCCCACAGAATTATTGCTGAGGTCTCCTTACCTCCAGAGCACTGGAGTTGGGTAAATTGTGCCAGAGCCTATAACCCATAAAGCCCAAATTATTTCCAATCATCCACCTTCATAATCACCTCTCACTTCCCTGCATCACCTGCCCCTCTGTAGGACAAGTTTGCAGATCCCTGGGGTTCCTTGGTGCCTGGCAGGGGTTCCCAGCTGTGGGTACTCATGGGGGCAGTGGTGATCGAACCCTAGTTAGAAAATGAAAGTGTAGACAAGGAGGAGGAGGAGGAGGAGGAGGAGGAGGAGGAGAAAGAAAGACTGTAGAATGGTTTCATGCCCAAAGTGATCCTTTGTCCTCCATGGGAAGCCAGACCACACTTCTGGGAGGTTCTGCCAGGTGCAGGTGCTGCTCCTCACCTGGGCAGGAGCTAAGAGCTGCTCTCCCATGTCCTGACCCGGGAGGTGGCCACCCATGCATGCAGAGGGTTCAGAACCCCCAGTACCTCAAGAGACAGAGGCCAGGGCTGGCATCTGAGCCTCAGGAACCTCCTGGAGGGGACTTGGCCAGTCTCCGTCAGCCTCTGGCCTCATGGGCATGACTGTGCCTGCTTTTGAAATAAAGGGCTCCACTTGAATGTCCTGGGTCCCATGGCTGTACCTGTGGGGTCTCTCATGGGTACAGGTAGTCACACTAACCTGAGTCTTGCAGGCATCCCATATGGGACACCACAAAAGCTGGCAGTGAGTGTGCTGGACACCTACCTCTGCATCTGCTAGGGAAGATTGTTGCCCTGCTCTGGGCTTTGCTTTTTCAAGGAGGAGAACACAACTGTTGCTCCCTGGGGACTTTGTCTGCACCCAGCTCTTCAGTGACCCATGGCTCCTGATCTCTGCTCCCCAAGGACACAGTCCCCGTGCCTTGGCAAATCTGAGCATCGCAGGAAGACCCCAGGCAGCAGAGAATTCCCTATACCCCAGACGTATTCTTAAGCCACTTGTTAAATTAGACTTCCAACAATGTGCAGAATGAGACTTAGACATCCTCTGTTTAGTTACTTGAGTTTGTTTGATTTTATTCACAAAGTAATTAGCCTACTAAGTATCTAATTATTGCCCAGGCATGCGTTATGGGGATCAGCCTGAAGCTTAGAGATTAGCAAAGTGTTGCTTGCCTGTGGACTCAGCCTCCGGATGCAATGAGCAGTTGAAATCAGCTATTTTCTCTTAATAATGTGGCTCTGATGCACACAAGTCCTCACTGTGAACCGCACGGTGTCTACACTGCTGCATTTCCCAGCTCTGGTTTCCTTTGAAAGGCGAGAGCATTGCCTATTGAAAGTGAACTCAGAAGACAAGGACCCCAGTCTCAAGGTCAAAGCTTCTCTCTAATCCAGAGTAAACAGGGTAAATCTTTTATCTCAGTGGCTCTTGGAGATTAAGGCAGAATCATTCTCTCCTGTTTGTTAGAGGTGAAGAACCCACGTGTCTGCCGCAGATACAGGTCTCGGGAAGTCTAATTAGCGAGATGGGCAGATAAATGGAATGGTATATAATTTATCTAATCATGGAGTCTTCATGGCCCAGGGTGCAAGGTGTTCCGGGAGATTTCTATCTGGATTGGGCTCTGATGATCCAGGAAAAGAGGCCCAGTCTGGCTCTGGGTTCTTGCTGATTGCTCCACAAAGTACCTGGCCTAGGCCAAGAGACCAGGTGTCTCCAGCAGAGCAACCTTGGAGAGGCCGTTCCTGGCTCAGTGGGTCCTTGGGTGCAGCCACCTGCCTGGCCCCCAGGAGTTCCATTCTAAAGCCTGTTCTGGGGTTTCATGGGAAAATGCACCCTGGCGGGGGTTGGCTTCCTGGGTGAACACTTCCCTGATACCCAGCATGGAGTCAAAATTGGCATAGCCCTCAGTCCACCTGCCCAGTGGGTCCAAGTCTCATGGCAGCGGTGGTGGGGTCCCATGGCAATGCACCCCTCAGGAAGGCCTCAACAAGCCTCGGTGCTGCTTCCTGGGCTCTGGATCTCCCATCACTTCAGCTTTCTCCCCAGTTACACCCCACCCAGCCCCTGAAGTGTTCGTTTATTTTTAATAAAAACATACTGGTTAAGCTATAGCCTCTTCATTTGGGATCAGAGGGCAGGGTGTGTGATGGCCCTAGCATTGCCCTCACTAATCCTGGAAGAAGACCGTTGGGCTTGCTTCCGGTCAGTGAGCGTCCATGCTCAGGCCCTCTAGGACTTCCCCCTATACTCAAGTCAAGGCACAAGCTTGGTCTGCCCGGCCCCCATGAAGGCCCCATGCCAAGGTAGGGTCCAAGTCTAGTAACACACAGGCCAGGCCACCGTGTGCCCACCCGCTACCCTCGGTGCCTGGCTGGGTTCCAGCCCTGCTGTCCTGGATGAGTAACTACAGCTCAGGTTCATGGGCTTCGATGCAGGGATGGGTTCACTCCAACCTGAAGAAGGGACAGTGCACCCCACAGTCCTCGCCCCGTGCAAGGTGCGCCCGGCCCAGGCCCCATGGGGATTGGTGACGTGCTTCCCTTGAGAAAAGCAGTCACATGGACAGCCCTGTGTTAGGGTTTGTGGCTATGTAAAGCCCTTTCAATTTAGGAAGGAAAGATGTGAGGCCTCTGTGAGCAAGGGCAGGGGTAGCTATTCAGGAGGGCCAGGGGCCGGGAGGGAGGGATAGAGGGGTGTGGGGAAGCGCGGTCCTGGTCCTCAGGGTCCACAGGCTTAGGGCAGCTGCTCAATCTGAGGTCCTAGAGGAGGCGCACAGCACAGCCAGTGGGGCCAAGTGTGAGCGTGCTTGCCAAAGGAGCCTGTGGACAGGGACTTTGGTTCTTGTTGTGTCATATTTTTTGCAGTGCTGGGGGTGGAACCCTAGGCCTCCAGCCAGCACACAGGAGCTGTGCACTGGCCTTGGTGGCATTTCACTGGCAGAAGGATGCTAAGGGTCAGATGGACCCGGATTGTGGACCAGAACCAGAGGCTCTGGGCAAGGTCCACCCCACAGTGTTTGCCAAGGTGGGTGATGTAAGCCCCAGCAGAGTGGTGGGTGGGAGCTCAGTTGTGCACAATGTGTGCTGTCCAGGTGCTCAGTGCACCTGCCATGACTTCAGGGGTCTAACCCTGGTCCTGGAGAAGCTATCAGGTGGGCCTGGCATGAACCAGGCACCAGTGCTGGGTGCGGGGTGCTCTCTATGGGACCAGGTAGCAGGTCTCACATGGAGCCTCCAGCAGCCCTGTGATCCATATAGAGAAGAGACTGTGCCTGGGCAGATCCAGCATCTTCCTCTCAGAGGGCCTTGGCTCAGCCTGGCACCTGGGCTGTGTGTGCCAAGTTCTTTCCTCTGGGGAGGAAGTATGAGAGTCCTCTAGGGCCTCCCAGAGAGAGAGCCCCTACCTGGGTGGCAGATGCTCCAATGTGAGCATGATCTCGTCTTTCTGCACCTCAGTTCCAAGTTAACCCCTCCAAAAACTAGGGCGATGGTGCAGCTCAGGGGTAGAGCACAAGTGCCTGGCATGTGCAAGGCCCTGAGTTCAAACTCAGTGCTGCAGATAGATAGGTAGGTAGATAGACAGATAGATAGATAGATACATACATACATACATACATAGAAAGATACATAGACACGTAGACAGATGATAGATACATATATAGATGATAGATAATGAATCATAGATGATAGTAGATAGATACATAGATATGATAGACAGAGCTACACAGATATGATAGATGATATCTATCCTCCAAAAATTGAACAGAAAATGAAATAAATGAACCAAAATATGCATTAACTTGAAAGTTTGACCTCTTAGAAAGAAGCTACTACAAGTGGCAGTAAGACAGTAGCTTGATTGGATATCTTTGGCAGACTATGTCCTCAAGCCAAACAGACTTTTAAACTGTTTTCAGGTAACAGGTTCAGCAATAATCTGTGTACTATCCCCTGACACACAAACATGCCTGAGTGTGTATGTGTGTGTGTGCATGTACACATGCTTATAAAAAGCTGGGGCAGTTGGATATCAGGGAGAGCACCTGTAATTAAGTCCAACTTACAGAATATGTTAAGTACAGGAGCCTATGATGACATTTGAGAAACATTGCACAGTGTATGCAAACCCAAGAACCAACCGATCCTTCAGAAACCTAGCAATAGAGGGGGAGATTCACACGTCAACCTGCTTTCCGCATGAGAAAAGTACCATGAGGTCACCAGAAAGAAGGTCAAGGAGCAAGACATCTCTTTTATAGAAGAACAGCTATTGAATTAGGAGGAGATGGAAGAAGTGAAATCTCAACATTTT